GCGAAAAGAGGCTCTTCAGCGACGCGGCCAAGACATGGAAAACGTCTTGCGGACTGTCAGGGCAGATATTGTTAAGGGTGAGCGGGAAAGGGAGCGGCTTATGCAGAAGCACTCCTGCCCTCAGACTTTCCTAACTACCCATGACAAAATTCTACGTCACCCGTCTTTACCAGATCAGGATATGTAACGATGGATACCAGTCTGATACTATTACCATATTTCCTCTGTATAAGAAGCCGCTGGGTGGCCCCGTTTGCAGTCTATTGGTAATAAGAAAGAGATTTGACACTGTCAGGCTATTGAGATTAAAGGGCCAGCAGTGAAATGAATATTAGGATCAAGCCGGTGTTTGATGGTCAGGTAGATGGTAATTATAGTCTAGTGGACACAACCAAGGCAAACTGCTTATAAATTAAGCAGTATATGCGTTTTGGGGTATGAGTAATATTTCATGATCTGGGTCTGCAGCAACCTGTTATATACGGTTAGTGAATATGTTTAAGAATGTAATGGATCGAATCTAATGAGTCAGACCATTGCTTTAACTTCAATGTTCCTAGGACGTCCTTGGCCCTCATGATTTTTGACGTTGTAGTTCAACAGCACTTCAGCCATTGTTAGCATAATAATGATGTGTGCTAAGTGCCTTCCAGGGCAGACATGTCTCCCATAGCCAAAAGCGAGGTTCTCTGGCCCAGTACTGACAAAGAGATGTTTGTCCTATTTACCTGGAATTTGCCCTTTGCGGTAGAAGCGAAGGCCATCAAATGTATCAGGATTCTCGTAGTTGCTCTTATGGGTATGGATAGCGGAGGTGGCACATTCTATTTTTGTACCTGTGGGGATGAATGTTCCATTAGAGAGGGTAATATCAGCTGTTGCAACTCTCTGAAAAGTAGCTTTTCAGCAGCAACAAGAGAATAATATATCATTAGCCACAGACATTGTGGAAAAAAGGGAGCACTGAGTGGCAAGTATTGACTCACAGAGGTCTGGAGAAGATAACTGCTGGCTTTCCTTTAGAAAACTGTCGAGCTTTCGCATGGACCTGAGGGATTTCGCTGTGAAGTGACCATTCTCATCTCTTTTTGCTTCGGAGACTTCATTGCGAAGTTCAGCAATATAGTCTGGGTGGGTCGAGAGGTCGTATAGACATTGTATGATTGAATTAAATGTGGTTAGTGTACCGACCGCACTGAGGATCATCTAATTCTGCAGCTGCTTATTCAATTCCTTAGCTCTCCCAACGCTTTTACCTGTCACTAAGAGGTCCAGCATTGTTGGAGGTTTATCTAATGCTCCCCTGTTGTCTATTATGTCGTTAATGGAGGCAGCAACATATTTACGGGCGACCTCCCACAGTCTCTTAATCTCAGCTCTTTGTGGCAAGAAGTAGAAGAGAAGCGGGCGAAGAATGGGCGGGTACTTTTTCAATGTCACGATAATCTCAAATGCAGTTTGAACATATCCAGTAGTGGTGTCGATCCATATGTCGCTCTGACTAGCTTTAGAACTGTGGATGACCCTGGCGGATAATGCTCCTGTGAGTCTGAGGACTTCCTTATGGACTTTGATTGGTGTCCATTCTGTTTAATATTGACTAGTATTAGATGCCAAGTGCAATAATTGGCACACATGATGATTTGGGGGCATCAGCCTGGACGTACCATTGAACTCGCCTAAGATCCTGGGCATCTTTTCCTTAAGGATCCTGTGTAATATAGGGACATATCGAGCTAGTGTTTAAAAGAGTGTAAGCTCTAAGGTATGTCTGGGAGCAGTCACATACGCAAGGAAACTTTCAATTTTCCCTTCATAGCAGTGATAACGTACTCAGGAGGGCCGCCAAACATTGTATATTGCATCAACATATCCTGGAGGTAAAATGGGTATTAAATCAACTCTAACCAGTGTCAGGAGCTTTACTCACATTGTCGATTGACGCCTTGAAACTGAGGTTGTGAATATCGTGATGACCCTTTAGCTTATTAAGCAAGCTAGGAGGGATAACGCATTTCAGGCCTGGTAAATAGAGAACTGGTTAAATGACACTCATAAGTTCCATTAGGGGTTGCAGGATAGGAAATGATTGCCCACTATCATTTGTGTCTACAGTAAACATAGGATTAGGATCCTGTGATTGCGTCTGTTAGGACAGTCTCATTCCCATCCTGTTGGCAGGAATGTTACATACATTATTATATCCTTTCTGTAGTAACTCCCTCGCTCTATGATAATATTTCAATGCCCGAGCGTGTTGCAGGTATGTTGCCAGTATGCTCGCAGATATGGCCAGGATGTAAACAGGCCAGATATGGTAACCAATCAGGAGGTGACTGGGGAGTCTGAGCCTATGAATGGCTGCCAATAATTCGATGGGCCGTTCCATTATCTGCATGCTGATATTTTATGGGGTGCCGGTAGTGCTTACGCGGAGATTTTTGAAGACGGGACGAATGACTGTTCTGAGCAAGATAATAATGAGCAGATATACCCTGATATATGTACAGTAGAAAGAATAGGGTCAAATTCAATGTGCCTAAATCTATTATGTGATGTAATCGGATTTACAAGACCCAGCTGCAGATAAAACAGCGTAAATTCTTATGAACTTTGATGGTTCCTAGAGCCTAATAAGCTGCTTTCATAAATTGCTGTATTATATTATAATGAAGTACTAAGGCTCCTGTAATTGACTGAGCATTCTTTAAATAATGTGCATCCACGCATACAAGCGTATTGTTCGGCCGCGGGGATATATACCATGAAACTGAAGGTCGTCCCAAAGCATCAATGCTCAGTATCATAGACGGCGCCTAGCTGTGGTGGATATTGGTCATATTATTCTTCTGTTGTTGACTCGGTCCACAGGCTCTGTAGCTCAGGGAGATGATATCCGTGCTCATTGAAAACCACCTCATAGTCCCCTTCGAAAATCCTAACATCCGCAGTTTCCTTGTCAGAGGAGAGCTTCCATCCATGGTCATGGTGATGATGGCGGAGTTCGTACAGCCTGTCTAACTGTACCAGTACAGCCCTTATATCTTGCTTCACAGTCCTCAGTCAAGTCCAGCCTGCCTCTGGGATGGCTAAGATTTCAATAGCAAAATTCCCTAATACCATTAGCCTACGCTGGGAAGTGAGGGTTAAGGTCCTACATACCAATTGCAATTTTAAGTTGCCTCGTAATGGATGTATCTTCAAAACTCGAAGGGGATTTAGACTCTCTTGAGATCTCCTGGCATATAGTTTCAAAATCAGACAGGACCTGTTCATAATCCTGGAGCGCTGACATAGTTGTAGTAGTTTTTTGATTAGTTGGCAGTGTAGTGTTGAACATGAAAGGGATGAGGATAATCCTCTATATATCAACTGCGCTGAAATGCTTAATATGAACGCACAGAACTCGGCTCCTGGTTTTGCATTTGGGCCCTGTATTTCCCCAAGCCTTGTGCCTTGTGCCTGTGCGTTGCACCCTATGTCGTCCGCCTACATAGTGTTAGAACACCATCCGGCATCCCCTTAGTAGGGACGGAAAAATAATGGGGCCTATTCTTCTGAAAATGTAGGTTGTTGTTGTTGTTGTTGTTGTTGTTGTTATTGTTGTTGTTGTTGTTGTTGTTGTTGTTGTTGTTGTTGTTGTTGTTGTTGTTGTTGTTGTTGTTGTTGTTGTTGTTGTTGTTGTTGTTGTTGTTGTTGTTGTTGTTGTTGTATCTATTAACGTCCGGCGGAAGACAGGCGAAGCCTGCACTCCTGAGACCTCTGATGGAGTATAGGGACGTGTTAAGCTATGAAATTATGATGTGCAACCGTAGAAGACATCAAGCAAAACCAGGTCGTTGTGGCTAGTTGACTGACGGACTTTCCGAAATGCAGGAGAGCGACAAAAGGGGCGGAGAGGCAGCAGAGAGTAAGCTCTCTATGGGCTAATGGGGCTAAACGGTGCGGAGGGATATCAACGCCGGAGCCAACAAAAGAAAGATGGAGAGAGGGAGGGCATCATCAACTGAAGATTTTGGAGTAAATCCGCGGTCCTGAGGAGATCAGCAAACACCATGGGCTTGAGGGACTAGAGGTATCAGATTACCTCCTCTCTCCCGCCCAGGGGCCGGCAGCAACAGAGCCACTATCAGTGGCTGCGCTGAGCCTTTACGCAAAAGGCAAGGTACTAAGGCTTTTATTGCGTCCGCAGGAGCCGGTGAGCTTAGTATTATTGTGGCAGAACCGGCGGTGGTACCAATCATAGTCCCCATGGGAGGACCTCCGGCCAAGCCATCTGTGGAGAACTGGATGGTGCAGGTCCAGCTCCAGCAGAGGCTTGGGCCTGTAGGTACTGCTGCAGTTTCATTGTCGATAGCATCTGGAGAGCTTGCTGGAAGTCCCCACCCAGTATTCTGCGCCGGCATCATCCCAGAACTCTCAGCACACCCAGCGTACGCTGCTGACAGTCAAAAGGGACTCAGGTCCCTGGTCCACAGGGTCGCAGAGCGCCCCTTGGTTTTCAAGGGAGTCGGCGGCCTCATTGCCTTGATCCCCATGTGTCAGGGGGCCATCTGAGCTGGATGTCGTGTCGATCCATGGTGGCCTGGACGTTGACGAAGGCCCGCTCTAAGGGTGGCTGGGGCGTCACCTCTAATGCCCAGATGACTGAGGTGCTGTCAATGCAGAGCTAGATATACATCAAGCGATGCGTGTGAAGGCCTCCGTAAGATCCAGTATTTCTATCCTTGGCGTATTATCATTACAGAATGGACGATAGCTGGTGAGCTGATTAAGTAATATTCGGGAATCCGTTCAATATGGCAAGTGACCAAAAGCTGAACCTCTTATTGTCCTTCTGATCACAGTTACTATTCTTCTCTTGATTTTTGATGTAAAACTTTGTATGATGCTAGTACACGGGTATCTGATGCGACAAACGCCCCTTGAACCAAAGGGCATAAAACCATGATGATGAAACCAGTCCTTCTCGGTATAAAGCATAAGCAAAGCATTACAGTTCATTGGTACGGTTGAGGGTATTTCAGCCTCAAAGAACCGTGAGGAAAGCCGCCGAGCCTCGAGACATCCAACCCATCGGCTGAAGGACCATTCGCTCCAGGGGTCCGAGGGGTATAGGCGGGATTCTGATTTTGGGATTTCGCCTCTGACGATAGACCTAGTTTGCCTAGCCTAGGCTTCACTTTGTCCCAGTATGTCTTGTAATCAACCTCGAAGGTGCTCATAGATTTTTTTTGCACCATATCTGATCTCAACATGTTCCCAGGCTAACCATCTCGGTAGAGGTTGCACTGCCGTGAGCATGATGAACCGTCTGAACCTGTGGTTGTTTACTATCGCCCAACCGGCAAAAAACTCTGCAAGGTGGTCGGTATTCCTTTGCTCCTGTGTGAGCCCTTTCGGTATACTTGCATCATCGTCTTCAGTGCGAGACCCATAGAGCGGGATGGCGTCGAGTGAAATCACAGGATCTTCGTGGTGCTCATCGCCTACCACGCCAGTGTTTAATTGAACGATCAGAGCATACATGCTCAACCATCTGAGGTATCGGATTAGAAGGGGAAAAGCCATAGGGTTAGATAAGCGACTTACATTCCCTGTCTCAACGGATCCTTAGGTTCAGGTTGCTTCAGGAGCCAGTCCAGGATATTTGGACGGAACATGACCTTCCAGCTCCCCTGGAATTTCTGCCTTATCCAATCCTTTAGCCACGCCAGGATGACGAGCGTGGCCTCTGGGTCCCTAAGCACGAAGTCTTCTGTAATTAGAATGACACCGCCATGAGGGAATATGCGTTGAAAATGCGAGGAGTGGTCAGCGTGTTGCAGTGGCCTAGTTAAAGAAAGGCTCCAGAAGCTGACGTTTCGCTGGATCAGTTCCTTGAAGTAAGGTAGGGCATGGTAATTCATAAAGCTTTGATGAGCCTTCATTAAGTCAGCGCAGCTGTTGGAATTAGTTTATGTTGCTTCCCGACTGACCAAGACAACTCCCTTCTGTATTGTACGTGCAAATCTCTCCCAATCTTCCGGAAGTCGACTCGAATAGGTCACAGCATTGTGCCTCTTCAGAAATTCGTGCATAAGTTCGTACTCTTGCTGCACTACTTCGGACTCGGCGGGAAACATCAAGTAAAATGCTTGAGCCTTCGTAGGCTTCTTAGCATCGTTAACGGAAGCCAGGAGATCATACGTGACACTAAATTGTTCTCTGAAGAACGCATCTAGATCAACAGTATTGTCAGTAGATGGCTGTGACAGCGATTTAATATCATCTGCAATAGACTGAGCCATGCTTGTGGTGTGTTTGATGGGAGAAGGAAGTCCAGGGTCTGAATTCTCTTGTTGCAGTTTGATCTGTTAACGTAATCAACCACCGAACCGCCGATACCACCGAACCGCCGCGAAAATCATTGAATTTTTGAAGCCTTCTAATCACCAACGCTATTAAATTAATTATCTAATATATAAATATATAGCTATTTGCTAGGGCAACTCCGTATTGTATGTCCAATAGCCCAGCAGCCACTGCAGCGTGGTGGAGCGCGCTGACGAGGCGCTGGTATAGGCTCATCAACCCGCTCACCAACCTGCTCAATGCGGTCACGACCTTCTTGTACAGATAAAAAGAGGTCATTTCCTAGAGAAGCATGCTTCCTTACCTTCTTCTTCATTTTTCGCTCATTTTCAGCCCGTAGAGTCTTTATTTCTTGTTGAAGAAGAAGATTCATATTCATTGCCATCTGTGCAGCCTTTTCAAGATGTTGAATATGAGAGACTTGACTGCTTGAAAGCTTCCTTTTCTGCAGGCTTCTCTGTAAGCTGCGAACTTTGTGATCAAGCTGGCGAGGATTTTGAGGTGTTTGAAAAGCAGATGAGATTAATCCTTCCATAAGAACACAGATGGTCAACTTACTAACCAGATTTTGTTTTTGTACTGCCAACTTTGCGATAGCAGCAGGCATAGATGTATACTCCCCTGAGATACCCAGAGAGTTGAGCTTGCTACAATGGACTTGGAGACCAAATATCAGCGAAAAGTGCAGGAGCATTGCGGAAGGAAGTTGCTTAGGATACACAATCAGCCAAAAAAGCTCAAAACAACACAGAATGGTTACAAGAACTAGGCAACGACCCTAAGCTGGTAAAACCTTAGTTTGGCGTGGTAGTCCACTGCACACTGACCGAAGACTTCATTGTCGAAGGAAACAAGAAACATGGAATAGACAAGATCACAGAGGAAAATGACCTCAATAGCAAAGGATTCCAAATCGAAGACATTGCGTGGCTGAAGAAGAAAGACCAGCCCTAGGAATATCAGCATCACTAGGCATATGGCTAGACACACCAGAAGCAGCGGAATATATCATTGACAATGGACTACTGGTGGGCCAGAGGTACATGTGTGGAACCATACCAGGTTGAACGGAAAAGACGCCACCGCTGTCAACAGGTCAGCCACATAGCTTGGCGTGCAAAGAACAGAAAGATGCAGATATCGTGCTCATCAACACAAATACTGTGACTGCTCTCAAGAAATGAGGCCAAGGTGCCTGGAATGCGATGGAGAACATCCTGCCGGAGACCGGAGGTGTCAATCACCTCCTAACACCTCCTCATCACAATGACCTTAACAAATCTTCGTCTACTACAGTTGAACATGATGAAATTCAGGGCAGGCGTGGAAGCCCTTAACAACGACCCACCAAACCCAGAACATCGATGTAATCCTGGTCTAAGAGCCACCAGTCACTGCATATAACACGCATGTCAGCCACAGCGCATGGCGGCTCTACCGTCCTACATACACAGACGAGTCAGCCAGAAGCCTTCTCTATGTGAATAAAAAGATCTCAACTCCGTCACATCGCCAGATTCACTGCAACCATTCTGATGTTACCGCAGCCAAGGTGTGGACCCCTGAGGCGTAATATCTCCTCTTCTCAGTGTACATCCCACCAGTGGCAATATATTAACCTCCGGATGTGACCACTGCCCAACTGGTACTGGAGGAGACCCAAGCCAGCATTGGGCAAAATTCCACTGGGGAACAGACAAGGTGACAAGGCTCATTATTGCAGGAGACGTCAACCAGCATCACCCAGCATGGACCATCAGCCAGTCTACCACACCTATGCGGAGGAGCTCATCAATTTCTTCCAAACGCATGAGCTCCAATGGTGCCTACCTCAAGGCACACTAACCTGGTCGCTGAGAGCGATCCAGAAAAAGCGTCCACCCTAGACCTCAGATTAGCTAACAACCCAGCGAAGCTCAATGAATGCCACCTCTACCACACGATCACTAGGAATCGGACGACCGCGGGACGTTCTCTGAACGGATCCTCCAGCCAGACCTCAACGTAGGTCCAAAACCAAAGAGAGCATATGATGAAGCCAACTGGTCCAACGTCGGCCATAGAATACTTGAGAGGATGGGTCCACTACCCCTGATCCACTCAACCTCAGACCTAGACGAGGCAACTGAGAGACTTGTGGAGTCTACCTCTGCAATCTTGAACCACGAGGTCCCAGCACAGAAGCCGTCACCATACTCAAAACGATTGTTTACCTCGGAGCTTAAAACCCAACAGGTTAAGGTAAACGGGGCGCGTAGAACATGCAGGACAGCTGCGCCACCCTGGGCGCTGCCCACCTGATAACTGCGGCTCCTTTCTAGGACATGCGCCAGAAAACGCCGGGAATGGACCAGGACTGTGGAAAAGGCCAATGCCACACATTGGAAACAGTTCCTGGATGAGGCTAAGTAAGAACAGGTGTGGAAGGCAGCAACATACATGCGACCAAAAGATCCATACAGAAGTATGAGAGCCCTGAAGGGCCGATGTCCTCTACCTAGCAGAGGCTTCAATGCTTTATCTTTTACTTTTCTCTCAGTTTTGGTTTAATTTTAATTCCCAGGAAGGTGGGTGTTCGCCATGGTGCTAGTGCCCTTGGATTGATTGTTTCTAGAGCTTGGAGATGGTTGAGGCTCTTCATCCGCATTATTTCTGCTAGAGGAAACCGCGGTTTAGGATTCTTATGCGTACTCTGTATTTTTGCCCGTGATACTACACTATGTATCGGTTGCCCTTCTGGCAGTGTGCTGAGACAGGCGACCACAATTTGGGCTCAATGTTTAAGATGAAGGCAAGTTGGCAACATGTGGGATTCTACTCTAAGTGCTGGCGTTGAGACCGTTTTGAAAGCAGAGGGGATGCGGAGTAATGCTGTTCCCTGGACTGTTCTAAGCAGCCTTAGGTGTGTTCTATCCTCAAGGGGGTTATGCCACACCCTGGAACGCATAGTCCATCATTGGTGTCATGTATGCTTGTTCAAGCTGTCTTATCTGCTCTGAGTGGAGATGTCTTAGTCCACCAAGTGTGATATTGACGATGGTGGCTTATTTGATTGCTTGTTGTACATGCTCTATTCATCACATCTCTTTATTGAAGGTAACGCCCAGGAGCTTTGCTGTGTTGCTTAGTTTAATGACCTTTCTGTTCAAGATAATTTGTCCGACTTCATGTTCCTTTTTTGACCTTGTCAAGTGGATCACTTCTGTCTTCTCTGCGGCAAAGCAGGGGCCAGTCCACCGGGCCCATGCCTCAGTCCGGGGGATATCCTCTTATTAGATCTTTCTGAGATTTTCTTTTGCAAAAGTGCCCACCCGCCATCGGAGGTAGTCCACTAGGGCGGGTACTGTGTCTTCTTCTCCTGCTTTTCCCATCTTAGGGAAACAGGTTCCCCGAAGCGCTTTCAGCCTTATCCTTACTGTCCGAGACCTCCTCGGAGCCCACCTTACAGTGTCTCTGAATCTGATACATCCAGTCAGCACAACTACCTGGGAGCTATAGCAGCAACCCTTAACCAGAATCAGAGCATCATAGAGTCCTAGGCTCCTAGCAGGTCTGTATTAGTTTAATAGAGCACTGGTATATGCTGCAGAACTCATGGCAATATACTACACAATTAGCTTACTCTATCAAATAATGCAGGGGAATTGAGACGCTCTAACTACCATCCAGAAACCTGCTACTATCCTTAGCAAGTTAGCAACAGCATATCAGCACTACAAGCGATAGCAAACTCATGGAATAAATCAGGGCAGTAAGGGAGCTAAAGATGCAGAGAATTCCCCTCCGCCTGCAATGACTTCTGGGACTGGAAATGACGCAGCTGACTGCCTAGCCAAGGAAACAGCTGGCCCAGATAAGATACACCCTTTCCAGCATCTTCTCTCATGGGAGAAGGTATTCATCCGCCGCGGGATCCAAAGAGAATGGGAGCAAGAATGGAAGACCACTAAGAAAGGAGGATACCTCCGCCGGATTGACGATATATACATATGTACAGTTCTATGCACTTTTCTTCGTTGTCCTAAAAAACCATCATAAATTTTCATAGGCTTAACCGCTTAAGTATATTTTACTCAACCAAAATATATATTTGCTTGAATAAAACTGATATAGGTAGATTAAAATTTAAAAAGGTCTAATTTTATTTTAGAGATTTTTAAAAAGTTTTAAACCCTATGGGGCCATGGGCCTATATGAATATGATATCATATATCTTATTCTTATAGGATTATCCTTACTCTTAGTTGCTTACTCCTTAGTAAGTTAGTAGAAACTAGAATCTAGATTATGTTAAGGTGTCTACTGTGCAGGGTAGAAGGCCTGTCAGTCAGGTAAGGAAGAAGGTACCAAGTCAAATTATGGCAAGACTGTTTCTTGAGGAACCCTCAAGAATCCTTCATGAAGCATTCTATTTAACATATAGCCTCCCTAAGAAACTTCTAAGTCCTTGTTGAGCGTAATCAATGATTTGAAATTGAATACGAGGACAACTCATCAGCTGAAGGACCCATGCAAGAGATATGCATCTCATGCTGCCTAAAAGAGGGGAACACCAAGCTGCGCAACTAATCAAGTCACGCCACTGATTTCATAGCGGAAAGAAACCACTTCTCTTAGGGGAATATGTCAGGTGGGTATAACCTCAAGGAAACTAGAAAGGGAAGTGCATGGAAGAAAAGACTGTAACAGATTACTAGAAAGTTATATCGTATATACTAAAAAGCCCTGGTATATAAGGCCTATTATCTATTCTATTCTTACTGCTTGGTTATGAAGGTTCAAGGTAGGTAGAAGAAGAGAAGTATTAGAAATATATATCTTTATACCTTACCTCTACACACCTTTTAGGTATTTCCATAGTTCTTTAACCACCTATTTTATATAGTATTATATTATTATAATTAAGTATTCTTATAATTAAATACTCATATTTAAT